AGCAGGTGCAGGAAACAGAATGCTACCCACTTGAGGAGGAGGAGAACGATCTAGAGAATTTATCTGCCTTGCCCGAGGTCACCTCAGCCAGAGGTCTGAGACTTAGATCTGGTCTGCCTCACGCCCACGTGGCCCAGTGGGGCCACGGCCGTTCAGATTCCACCAGATACAGAGGACGGACGGACAGCTGTCGGGGTGGGGGGAGTTGGGGACCTGGGGGGAAAGGTGAAGGGATTAAGCAAGTAACAAACAAACTCCTGGACACAGACAACAGCATGGGGATGACCAGAGGGGAGGGGGGCGGGGCGGTAGCAGAAGGCAAAGGGGGTGGGGGGTTGTGACGGAAGGAGACCTGACTTGGACTGGTGGACACACAGTATACTATACCGACGGTGGGCTATAGAATTGTGCCCCTGAAACTTACATAATCTTATTAACCAATGTCACCCCAGTAAATTCAATGAAAAAAAGTTTAAGGTACTGATTGGGCGTGCCCTGTGGTTTGGAGAACATTTGGAGTGACAGACACATGCAGGAGGTACCGTTCACCCTTCGACTCCACCGCACGCACGCCTGCTTGACGGTCTGTGCTCCCTGGGTTCACTTCCCCACCTCGAAGATACATAGAAACAGAGAGAAGGATCTGAAGTGTTTGCTTTGAAACAATTTAAAAGAAAACAAAGCAACCTCACACTCTTAAAACCTCTCCTCAAAAGCAGCAAAGAGTTACCAAATCATTTATGCAGACATCGACCAAAGCGGCCCTGCCCACGGGTTCATGTTAGGGACGGCCGTGAGGCTGGCTCTGCCACGGGTCACCGGGATGCCCGCGCTGCTGTCACCACCAGGTCCCTTTATAGTGCCCTGCCATGGACTGCATAACGTCTGGTTTTATTTACCGAACTACACAGGTTCAAAAAGTAAGCAACGACATTCCCATTTCACATTCATCAAAGACTTCTGCAACCACAGCTTTTTACTAGGATGACATTTAGGAAGTCACCCAGTTTCCTTGGAAAAAAGAGAACGTATGTAGAATTTTAGCCCTAAACATGGCAGCCCTGTCCAGGGCAAAGAGGTGCTGTCTTCTGTTTTCCGGGGTTAGGGATGCTGGGTTTCAAGCACCTGCGGCCTCTTCCCGGATCCCCGGGTGGGGGCACCGAGGGTCCCCCAGGCTCGGAACCACCGGTCTGCGCCGAGTAGGCAGACGGAAAACAACACAGTGCAAACTCCTCGCACAGACGCTGCTGCAAAGACTCTGCCTGAGACCAGGAGCAAGAGCGAGCCCGGAGCCAAAAGCTGCGTGAGGCAGAATGACGCGCATGGGCAGCCAGGAGGCAGATCCGGAGCGTCCCGGTCCTGGGGTGGCCAGAAAAGGGGCAAGAGGACACGCAGGCATTCCGTTCACGACGTTTTCCAGGAACGACCTATTTCACAAAACACCTACTGGCATGAACGCAAGTCGACCCCACCGCCCCTGACTCCGCGATCCCTCCTCCTCTCCCCCCTAAACGCTGGGTGAGTGCTGCTGCCCCAGTCACAGGGCGAGAGGAGCAGCCCAGTTCAATGTCCTGGCCCCGAGTGCCTACCGTCTCGTTTCCATAGCTTCCCCTCCGAGTTCTATAATCATTAACCCCCGCTCAGAATGGAATCCTACGACAACAAGACCCCACTTCGCGAATATGAATTCGAAAACTAGAACTCTGGATTGAAAAGGAAAAAAAAAGAAAACTAGTTCAAAAGCTGTTAGGCAACTAAGCTCATAATCCTGCAGGTGGGTGGGTGTCAGAGCGTAACTCCACACCTGCTGCCGCTGAGCCAGGGGCCCGCCCGCATTCTCAGGTGACTCCCGCCCTGCCGGACAGGACAGCACCTTCCCTTCCCGGGGCCACTGTTTCAGGGGGTGGGGCCGGTTGCACAACCACAGCCCTTCACCCACATTCTTCACTGGAAGAATATAATTTTTCTGGAACAGCCTCCTGTTTTGACAGCACCTGCCAGACGTACACCTTTCCTTAAAATCTCCCATTAGCACTCAGCGACCTCAGGGGCCACAGAGAGAAGGCCGCTGCCCACCCTGCCACGTGCTGCTGTAGGAGCTTGCGCTTCACTGCACGGGTCACGTGCCCTCACGTGCCCGAGTCCGTGTTGGGCATTCGGCCAGCCTTATTTGGTTTCTCACCATGGCCCCATGAAGCTGGCACAGTTATCATCTTCCCAGTTTACCTTCAATGAGGGATCCGAGGCCCAGAGAGCGTGGTCAGCAGACCGGACGCCCCTGAATCCACTGCACTGTGTGTCTTCTCAACGTGAGTGCAGACATGCCTGCAAACCTATGGTGTTCTGGAAGGGGCCGAGGAAACCGCGCGGTCCACGTGGATGAGTGAGTTCATGGTATAAGGAGCTCTCGCCCATGGTTAAAAGTTCGTCTTAGAGGCAGGAAGCCTCCTCCCCGCAAAACCTTTCATATTTGGGTGAATTAGAGAAAACAGTATTCTCCAGTTAACACACAAGGAAAGCTTCATGAATTTCTGGAGCTTTAAAATGGTGGAAGAAAGTGGGTGGGGTGCGGGGGAAGAGACAGAACCTGTGGGCTTTCTCTTTCAAAAATATGGATGAGATGCACAGCGCTATAAGCAGCAGGTGCTTGTTAATTTGCTATAATTGTTAGTTATCAAATATCAGTGGTAGACTCGTTTCACTGAATTTTACTGGGGAGGCATTCCCCCCAAGCCACTTTCAAAGACAGGCACCGACCGAGGCACGGGCCTGGTCGCTCAGGCCATCAGCACATCATCCAGATACGCCGAGATTGGTGGTTTGATCCCCGGCCAGGGCACATACAAGAACAAAAACTAGATGGAACAATAAACAGATGTTTCTTTCTCTCTCAAAAAAAAAAAAATCAGTGAAGACAGACTACTGAAAACTGAGAAAGATAAAGGAGTCTGTTGTCAGCTGGCTCATGGAAGGGTTTGCTCACGTCTCTTCCAGTCTTACTCCAGTCTTACTGTTACAAAGAAAACGTTATACAATTCCCCCTTCCTGCCTCGTAAGAATGTAACAGTAAATGGTTTATCGTCAAGTTCAATAATCTTATTATCTCCTTCTGAGAAATTTACCCTGAAAAGTTATGCAAAATACATTTTATGGCTGGGAATGATGTCCCCCCCCCCCACCCCGGGGACATTTGGCACTAACTGGGGACATTTTTGGGTTGGCACAATTGGGGGAGGGGTGCTTCTGACATCTGGTGGGGGAAGACCAGGGAGGCTCCTATACAAGACACAAAAAGAGAAAGGACAAATGCTTTATAACATAATCTATTAATCTTTTATAAATGCTATTCTTGGGGAAGGAGGGAGGAAGAGAGGGAGAGAAACACTGATGTGTGAGAAGCACATTGACTGGTTGCCTCTCAGTCGCCCTCAACTGGGGACCCGGGCCCGCAACCCGGCCATGTGCCCTGACTGGGAATCAAACCTGCGACCTTTGGATTTGCAGGGCGGTACGCCATCTCCTGAGCCACACCAGCCAGGGCAAAATGCTCTTCTCTTTAATAGACACAAATAAAGAAAGGACACACTGGATCTTAAAACTGCAGAATTCCTGACACCATGGGGGTGGGGTGGTGAGAGAAAGAGCTCGGAGCAGACATTTCGGGTCCATCACACCTAGTGTTATACTCAGGGTCTTTAGTTCAGGAAACTCCAATGGCAAATAAGCTCTGTAGAGTTCAGCAGAAGGGACGGGACGGATCAGATGTGACTCCCAACTAGAAAACCACTCCTAACTAAATCGGGGCACTATTTTATCTTCTGGCACTCGGCGGAATGACAAGTTCTTGGTAAAATATCTTTCTGATAAACATCAACTCCAACCTTTTCAAAAAGTTTTTTTTTTTTAATGCTCTGCAAAACAAAAGTCCCTGGATGGAAACTGGGGTCCAGCTGAGGCCAGGCCTCTGTCAGTTACCCCTCCAAACCGCGTGAAGAGCTCCCACCGCTAAGCATTCCCTCTTCCTGTCCGGGGAACTGCGGAAAGTGAATGTTAGGATTTGTGACTCAGACTCCCTCCCCCACAGTGATAAAACACCCCCAGAGGCAGCAAAGAAAAGCCCCTTAAATTTCATTGCAAAAATGACAACCTAAAGACTCTTAGCAAAGGAATCTTTTCCCTGAAGTTAGGCAACGTTTTTACAACGTCTAAAGCTACTTTAGGATGGAGTCCCACTAGCAGCGCTTTTAGTCCCGTCCTCCCTCCGGTCTTCACCAAGGCCAGCCACACACCCACGCTCGGTCCCAGGAGTCCAGCTCGGCACCGCCGCACTGCAAAGTCCTCATCCCGTGAGTTCACGATCGCCAGGGCAGTGTGGGCGGAGATCCTGGGGTAGGCCTCGGGGTGCTGCCCATACACCCGACCTCTGAGCGACCTCACGGTCCTATCTAGGGGGACCCCACAGCTCACGAGGTGGGGGAGGAAGGGACTCCAACCGGCACCTTTTAGGAATCCCCTCCCGCAATATGAAGCGGGACAACCCCCACCCCAGATGGAGACCCGCTCTTTGCAAACTCAGGGAAAAGAAGTATCTTTCGAAACCCTTCCGTGTAGCTGTGCCCTCAGCCAGGGCAGCCCATCCAGCCGGAATTTCCTACCAAGTGCTGGGTGTGCCCCGGTCCCATACGCCCGCGCAGAGGCTCCCACGGCAGCGCCTGCCCCACCAGGGCTCCGCCGGCGCGGCGCGGCGCGGCGCGGGCCTGTGCGCCTCCGGTCGCCCCCCGGTGGGGACGTCCGGGTGCGCAGACGCGGGGAACGCTCCCTGGGGCGCACCCGCGGGCCCGCAGACTCAGTGTGCACAGAGACGTGTGCAGGCGCGGAGACGGCGCCCCCAGGTGTGCGGAACTCGGTGAGCAAGGTCAGGAGCACGCGCAGAGCCCCGCACGGCAGGTCCCAGCGGGGGACCTCCACACCCCGGTCCGCGGAGCGCTTTGCCGACTCACCTCCTCCAAGAATTTCGTCAGATCGTACACTTTGTTATGCAGGATAAGCCAGGTGCTCTTGCTGTGGTTGTGCTTCTGGATCTCTTCCAAGGTGTAGTACGTGACGGCCTTATCTGACGCCTCGGCCATTTCGGAAGGCAGAGAGTTGCACCCCTATACACACCAGTGGAGCCGGGAGGAGCACAGCAGGCGTCTCCACTACCCAGGGCCCGGGCATTCCCCTAGTCCCGGCTGGGGCTCCCGGGGCTGGACAACCAGCCCCAGGGAGGGGGGCGGCTTCCTGAGGGCCCCCGATGATTGGCCAGAGCCCGTGTCACTCAAGGGACCCGCCCTCGACCTCCATTTTATACCAACCCCAGTGCGCCCCGCCCAAAGTGGATGTTGATTGGCTGAAGCAGCTGCCTAGCGTGCTCGAGGCGGGGCGTGGCGGGTCCTCTGGCGCCTGCGCAGAAGAAGGGAAGGTGGCCGGGTGTTGACCGGGTGTTAGGGTTGCACACGCGTGCGGGAAGGACGCGGACCCTGCGCGGTGGTCCATAGGGGCTAGCGCATAGTCCACTCTGTGCAGGGCAGCGTCCGCACGTCAGAATCGCCGCATTTCCCAATCAAGTCATATCAGCCGGACCGGGACGCTAATTTCTAACAGTCTTCGCTGCAAGTCACAAGAGTAAATTGTTAGCGTTGCGTGAGACACAGACGAGCCTTGTGGACTTCAGAACGTTAACCCGGGTGGAACTGCGTGCTGCCCGGAACAAACTGTCACTGCAGTGTCTGCCCCGGATGGCTCCGTTCTCACGGGAAAAACAAACCCGTGGGAATTGTTATAAAAAGTAAAGACGTTCTGGTTATTTCTGTATCCCCAAAGCAGTTCGTTGTTGACCACTGGCCAGGCGAGCTCTAGCATTAGCATCTTTGCCTTATGTCAACAGCGTATTGTTAAGGTGCGCCCTAAATGATGGACAGCACTTGGAATAAAACCTGGAAGAGCACCTCCCCAGCAGGCATAGGAAGACTTGCAAATGTTTGAGAAAAACAAAGCGGAAGAGTTCCAGCATGTTAAAGAATCACCTGATATTTGTCAAGGCCCTTTTCAGCGATGGTAATTAACTCCAAAAGAACCACGCAGCAGGGTGCACACTAGGCCATCTTCCCGAGGAAGATGAGCACAGTTCTTCCGCATTTGGGTGCTGGGTGTTAGTGCCCACCCCGACACTAACTCCTCCATAGCAATGCATGGCCATGAAGAGGAAAACAGTTTCCCAAGTAGTCCAGGTTTTCTTCAGCCTTTTCAAATGGTGGAATACACTGATTTTCAAATACCGAACCAGCCTTGCACCTTGGGAATGAACCCCACTCGTTTATGGTATATCATAATTTCCTGTATTAATGAAGTGTACGTTGAGTTTTTGCATCTATATTTATGAGATAGTGTGTAGATTTCTGTTTACACTTACATTTGTCTGGTTTGGGTATCAGAGTAATACTGCTTCATAGAATGATTTGAGAAGTTCCCCTTTTCTATTTTTCTGGAAAAGATTACGTACAATTGGTGTTATTCTTTAAAAGTACGGTAGAAGTATCCAGTGAAACCAAATAGGACCGCAGATCTCTTCTTCAGGAAGTTTTACATTTTAATTTGCATATAACAGCTATGGGACTATTCGGATTGTGTTTCGTTATGGGTAAGCTGTGGTAATGCGTGCTTTTTGAGAAGTTGGCCCATTTCGTTTAAATTGTTAAATCTAGCCTCTTGCTGTTTACAGGGTCTGTAGTGAAATCCTGTTTGATTCCCCATGCCAGTAATTTGTGACTTCTACTTTTTGTTGTCAGCTTTGCTAGAGGTTGTCAGTTTTATTGATATTTCCAAAGGGCCGGGTTTTTTTTTTTCTTGAATTTTTCTGTCATTTTCTTTTTTTCAATGTCACTGATTTCTGTTCATTATATTCTTCCTTCTGTTTGCCTTGTTTTTTTCTCCCCCAGCCCCACCCCCGTTTCCTCAGGTGTTAAGTTTATTGATTTGAAACTTTTTCTCCTTTCTAATGTTTGTGTTTAATGTTATAATTTTCCAATATGTTTTTAAAATGGTAGACCAAAATTATACTATTTTCCTAACCATTGTCAGGACTGCTAAATTGAAGCGATCACCGACCGGCAGTGACCGCAGAACGCTGTGGATGACTTGTCGACATGCGAGAAAAGCATACACAGACAACCAGGTCCTGTGGGGAAGTAGAAACGAAATGGCCACTATCTCGGGTGGGGAGAGTGCCCCGTTCCCCCTCCGAGAGGCTTTTTATTGGTTTCGTTTGCATAAGAATTCAGGTACAGCTCATTACTCATTGCTAGGAAGTAAGGATCAAACAATAGATAACAAGGAAGTCTGAGGGCCTATTTTGAGTCAGGGTCAAAGAGCTGTAAAACTTTGAGGAACAAACTTACTTCTTCCTTGGACCCTTATCATTCAACTGAGAGCATTCTAAACAAAGCAAGTTTCACTGGATCTTACATATTCTTTCTTAGGCCTGATCACTGGGGGAACCTGCCCTTTTCAGCACAGGGCTGCACCACCCTCTGTCATTGTTTCAGGCTTAGGTGGAGCAAGGGAAGTGAGGCAGCCAAGGGATAAGGAGATTTTCTCCCAGACGATGAGGACTCAGGCTATATCAAAGCCAAGGAGCGAGGATCCATCACCCCCTTTTGCTGCAGCCCCCAAAGTCCTTCCTTGGGGGCCTCCCACATGATCGTGCCTGTCTTAGGTCATTCCCCCCTTGGGGAATCTTACCTATCATTGGCTAACCGACCACGCATTGGGGTTCAGTTATGAATGAAGCAACAGAAGCAGCACTCCTGCAGGGAGATAAGCTTTGGTCTCTTTGCTGGCTTACGGTCCAAGGCCACTCCCTCAGACTTAGCTTTGGAGGGGGTTACAGCTTCTGATACCAGGCAGGGCGGTCCCCAACACTAAATCACCCAAGACTTAGACCAAAGCAATGTGTCTCTTAACTGGATGGCTTATCTCTGCAATCCAATGTCAAGACTGTTTCAGATTTCAGTCCCACTTCCAAATAGCTCTGGAAGTGGTTAAAAACAAAACATTGGTGCCCGTGACCTGGATTCTCTCAGGTGTGACTTATCAGATGCATGACTAGGAGCCAGACGGTGAACGATTCTAAACAACTGCTTATAAAATGCTTAGCACAGGGGCCAGCACATAGAGAGCAATGAGCAGATTTTAGCTAGTTCTCAGGTTATTCTTTTTACTCAACAAGATTTCCTTATTCTAAAACCCAGGTATGAGGAAGCATCCTATCTGGCAGGTGCTCCAAGCAGAAGTAAATCTAGGCAAATTTAGAAACAAACAAACCTGATAAATTAAAGGAACACAAATACCTCCAGATTCTTCCTCACTTCCCCTCCAGCAAATGTGATAAACATTTGAAACACTAACTCTACTCCTAAAGCTACTTAAATAAAAATATACTGTAAAATGTACTGTCTTCTGTTCTAATAAAAGACAAAAATAAGCAAACATTATTAGATTTTAAAACTTCTTTTCTAATTCTTTATGCCCCTTGTACACAAGACTTACCTGAGTGGCTCTCTCCTGCCCCTTTAGGTAAATAGTTACCTTTGCCATTATACAGTTACAACCACAGAAAGGTGGTTCCCTCAAGGAATGGGCACTTCTACAAAGAAGGACTCCAATTCAAATAACTACACAGATAATTTGCATTATGTGCCAAGGTTGCAGGTTTGATCCCTAATCAGGGCACATACAAGAATCAACCTATGATGAATATATAAGTGGAACAAGAAATTGATGTTCCTCTCTTTCTCCCTTTCCCTCTCTCTCTAAAACCAATTTGCATTTATACTCACATTCATGTCTCTTAAAAATCACGTTACCATAGGTTATCTTTATCCTCTCCAAAATCCCTCTCTCTCTCCAGCAAAGGCATAATGGCCACGGGAATAAGACGGTATCTTCAGACCAAAAACTGAAGCAGACAAGTCCAGGAAATACAACAGAATTTATTGCAGGGTAAGGTGCTTACAGGAACTAGGTCCGAGCAGACAACCCAGAGGGCCTGCAGAAATTATCCTGCACTACAGACTCCTGTGACTGTGCTTTTCCAATACTGTAACTCAGGTACCAGTGACCAACAAGACAATGGGACAAAGAGCGCAGCAGTGCCAGGGGCCTTGTGATAGATACTTGTCTGTAACTGATACTATCACCAGTCTGATATTTATCTCAGTTGTTCTGGCATTCAGCCTAACAACAATATTCATGGCTACATTTTAAGGCACAAGTACTCGTTCACCAATTAGAAGGTTTTCTTTTTTTTCAAAATTTAAATGATTTATTTTTCAATTACAGTTTGACTAGAAGGCTTCGATATATGCTTGCTATGGAAAATGAGGTTGGTCAAAGGTCACAGCATGAAACCTCAAAATGAAATGAGATCTGGGACACCGAGATGGAGCTGTCTCTGGCTGCAGCTTCATCCCCTTCCTTCCCCTGAGTCCGCCCATTACTGGTGTCCCTCCCTGCCACCCACCACCACCCAGCTCTCCTCCGGCTCCGGCAGAAATGTGTGTAACAGCCCTTTGTTTTCCTACAGCAGGGCCAGGGTATTCAAATGAACCAAGTACAACGATTTTAGAGCCCGACATAGTTTTTTCACCTTTGCCAAATGAAGCGGTGAGGCCAGTTCAGTGAAGCCCCTCTGACTCTCACAGCTCCCGAAGTGACTGCGAGGTGCACTCCCAGTGAGGACCCTTTTCGAAACCTGTCCTTCTGAGTCCCAGCCTGCCTGTGTGTGCTGGAGGACAGCTGAGAACAGTCTACCCATAATGCAATCTCAGACCTCCAACTGCTCAGCGTCCAGGCCAGGGTGCATGCTGACCTGCCCCAGCCCCCGCCTGGGGCTTGTCACCATGGTTCCAGTTTCCTGTCTACAGATCTGGCACTTCCCCAGGTCACCTTTCTGGGAAAAGGCCTTCATTTTCACAGGGTCTTGCCCAATCACAAAATATGACCTAATCTTCATAAAAGAGACTCATGCAGTCAAACTGGTGTGTGGAATCCTTAAGGGGATTCTTTGAATGACTGGGTGAGGTAACAGGAAACATGAAGAACTCGTTCACCTGGAAAAGTGATGCCTCTTCATGACTTTTGTGCTTTTTTTTTCTGTGTCTGTGTCTTACTCTAATTGGTTTATAAGAGTTCTTTATGTAATTA